TTTAAAAATATGAACGTTCTCTGCGGCCCTGAGCTCCTCCTCAGACTGTTCCAGAGACGGGGGCCGTAGTGCTGGAAAGACGCCTCGCCGTGAGTGTGTGTGTCTGTGTGAGTGTGTGTCCTGACTTTGGGGATGGTTAGGAGTCTGCTGCCGGAGGAGCGCAGGGGCCGGGAAGGCTCATAGGATAAAAGCAAATCTGAAAGATAAGAAGGCCCAAGACCATTAAGAAATTTAAAAACCATTAAAAGAACCTTAAAATCGATTCTGAAACACACGGGGAGCCAATGCAGCGATTTTAAAACCGGTGTAATGTGGTCCCGCCCCCTGGTCTTAGTCAGGACACGCCCCCTGGTCTTAGTCAGGACACGCCCCCTGGTCTTAGTCAGGACACGCCCCCTGGTCTTAGTCAGGACACGTGCGGCCGAGTTTTGGAGTAATTGTAAACCTGAAATGTTCTTTTTGGGAAGACCAGAGAGCAGGGCATTACAGTAGTCAATGCGACTGGTTATAAAAGCATCAGCGTCTCCGTGTTGCCCCGAGAGAGAATGGGCGGACTCTGGCGATGTTCTTTAAATGATAAAAACCTATTTTTGTGATGTTCTTGATGTGAGGAATAAAAGTCAGCTCAGAGTCAAAGATTACGCCCAGGTTTCTCACTTGTGATGATGGATTAAAAGAGTGTGATTGGAGTTTTGATAAAAGTTTCTCTCTCTGGGCCTCAGGACCGATGACTAAAACCTCAGTTTTGTCCTGGTTAAGCTGGAGAAAGTTTTCTGCCATCCAGGATTTCAGGTCTAAAATGCAGTTAAAAAGAGCATCCATTGGCCTGGTGTCATCAGGAGACATGGAGATGTACAGCTGTGTATCATCAGGAGATGTACAGCTGAGTATCATCTGCATAACTGTGGAAGTTAATTCCATGTCTCCTGACGACACCGCCAAGAGGGAGCATGTACAGGTTAAAAAGGACTGGACCTAAAATGGAACCCTGGGGCACACCACATGTGATTTTATGGACCTGAGAGGAGCAGGTATCCAAACTTACCATGAAGGATCTGTCTGTTAAATAAGAAGTGAACCATTTGTGGACAGCACCAGAGAGGCCAAGGTGGTTCAGGCGTGATAAAAGAATGGTGTGGTCTACTGTGTCGAAGGCAGCGCTTAGATCCAGTAGAACCAACACAGTCTCCTTTTTAGAATCATAATTTAATCTAAAATCATTTAAAATCTTTAAAAGAGCAGTCTCTGTGCTGTGGTTCACCCTAAAACCTGATTGAAATTTCTTGAAGTTGTGACAAAGCATGAGCTGGAAACATTTTCTAAAATTTTGCTTAAAAATGGCAGGTTGGATACCAGTCTGTAGTTGTTAAAATCATTAAAATCTAAATTGCTCTTCTTCAGAAGGGGTCTAACCACAGCCGCTTTGAAGGCTGCAGGAAAGACCCCAGTCTGCAGAGAGCAATTCATCAGGTTTAAAAGCTCCTCTCTAAAAGATTCATAAAATGACTTAAAAAATTGAGTTGGGACAGGATCTAAAAGACATGTGGTGGGCCTCACTGAGGAGAAAACTTTATCAAGCATCTCAGCATCAACCAGGACAAAACTGTCCAGTGTTTCCTCTGGTGAAGACAAACAATCAGATGTGTTAAAAACAGTTGTGCGGTTGGATAAAATGTTGCATCTGATTGTGTTTATCTTCCCCGTGAAGTGGACTGCAAAATCCTCACAGAGGGAGTCTGTGGGGGTTAAAAGAGACATGCTAAAATCAGGGTTTAAAATGGTGTCGATGGTTGAAAATAGGACCTTTGGGTTATTTTTATTTTGGGTGATTAGCTTTGCAAAGTTTTGTTCTTATGATTTCTAATTGTGTTATTGTATGCTTTTTGATTGCTTTTATATAGTTCGTAGTTGATTGTTATTTTATCTTTCCTCCACCTTCGTTCTGCCACCCTGCACTCTCGTTTCATTTTCCGTACTTCCTCATTTCTCCATGGGGGTACAGATTTTGTTTTTATGATTTTTGTTTTTAAAGGAGCGACTTGATCCAATGCGGAACTAAGACTATTGTTAAAATCATTTGCTATAAAATCACAGGGGGCAGGTAAAACCAAGTGGGGAGTGTTGTTTAGGATGTCGATAAAATTTGCAGCCACTTCAGGGGTTAGATGTCGCTTCCTCACGGTTCTCACAGAGGTCTCACGCTGAATAAAACCAGTGATGTTAAAAAACACACAGTAGTGGTCCGAGACAGCCAAGTCGACAACAGAGGACACATCCGCAGTCAGGCCATGAGTAATGACCAGGTCAAGCGTGTGTCCTCTGTTGTGTGTTGGCTGTCTGACGTGTTGGGTAAAATCCATGTAATTAAGAACATCTAAGAAATCTAGGGTAAAATTGTCAGAGGGATTGTCAATGTGTATGTTAAAATCACCGGTTAAAATTATCATGTTGTAAGAATTGTGTAACTGTGATAAAAACGCTGAGAATTCATGAATAAAAAGGCTGCACTTTTTAGGTGGCCTATAAATAAGTACTGTTAAAATTTTGGGGTTGCTAAAAACAAGAGAGTGATACTGAAAACTTGAGTATTGGTAAAAAACAATAGGTTTGGTGGCCAGGGCGTTACTGCATATTGAGGCTGTGCCGCCACCTCTCTTTCCTTCTCTTGTTTTAAAAGCAAAGCTAAAATCGGGAGGGGAAGCCTCTGTAAGAACAGCCGGAGCATCCGGACCCAGCCACGTCTCAGTCTTATTTAAAAGAGAGCGTACATTTAAAAGAGCAAACCTGATGGTAGATGGGGGGTCATTTTTGTTTGTGGTGAGGGGAGAAGAAGATGTGGAGGAGCAAAGGGTAATAGGGATAAGGGTGTTGAGGGACGGTTTCCGGATTATGGGCGGTCTGTAGGGGCGGG